TAGATCCAGATTCAATAAAACTTGAATTAAATTCAATTGACATTTTAAAATGATAATTTTGCAAGAATAGAATTTTTAAATATTTATTGTGTAACGGGGTTTTTTGTCGATCTTTTAATATAAAATTCCCCCGTATTTTTATATATAATAAATTGATCAACATTTCTCTCATTCATAGACGGATCATCAATTAATGATTATAGATGATCTGCACCGTAAGCATATTTCTGTGTTTGAAAAAAGTTTATTTATTGAGAAATTTTATGATTTAATCATTGATCATTTTTTAGGTTGATCACTTGACTCAATCAGGTGACTTTGGATACAATTATTGAGTCATAATAATATTAATATGAATGAAAAAACACAAAAATATTTGGATACGTGCAATGTCATAGTAAACAAATAAAAGAAATAAAATACAACGTGCAAACAAAAACAAAAACCGGAATCTTTGTTTATTTATTTCTAAATAATGAAAATATATTAAAAGAAAGCTGAAAATGAGAAGTTTCTATTAATAAAATTTATATATTAATATGAAACTTATTTTTAATTGCCTTTTAATATTAGACAACAAAATTAATCAAAAACTCAATTATAAAAATCAACAAATCCATTTCTCGCCTAACAAACTCACCAAGAATTTTGATGTTTTAATACATGAACATTGTTGAATAATCATCACATGGCTAACAGCACGTTTTTGGGTTGAAGCCCTCATGAATAAATTTTGAGCTTAAAATAATCAATCAAAAAAATCATATTTAAATCAAAAAAGCACCTTGACCTTTGTGATAAGTTCAGGGATGATATATATATATAGCAATTGGCTGCTAGAAAGAACAAAAATCATCTTTTTTCCGAAAAAATTACGATTTTTTTTGTTACATTGTCAGGAGTTTATAAATGGTTTGATATTAACAGATATATGAAAAGAAATAAAAACAACAAAAACAATAAATAATAATAATAATATTCGTAATTATAATAATAATAATAATAATAATAATAGTAGAGGTAATAATAATAATAGCAATATTAACAACAATGTTAATAAAAATAAAAGTATAAAGATAATAATATTAGATGTGGTCTTTGTGACAATTCATTATAATTTTCTTGTGTTATTCTCAGTAACTAACGTCATCGTTTTTGAAACATGATAAAATACAATAAACAATTTAAACAAACAAACACCCCGTATCAAATTAAATCTTCTTTCCGTGTGGATATTAGGGAAACTATGATTGAGGAAGATTGTATCATTTTTTTTCAATGAAAAGATCTGCATAAAATTCAACCTTGCGTAAAACGATCGTCGGAAATAACAATAACAACAACAACAATAATAATAACAATAATAATATAAATATTTGCAGGAAAAACCCGGCACTTTTGCGCAGTGCTTCCAAGGCATTTACCAGGTTGGCAATGTACATATATAAAGAAACGATTGCTTGAAAAACATTTCTAGAAGGAATTTATTCTATTAATATATATATTTTTTTTGTGCGATGAGAAAGTCTTGGATGAAATAAATATGGAAAATAAAGAAAATAAAAAAAAAAAAACCATATCGATAAATTTGGTTAGAATAGGAGTGAGACTTGTTAGTCTTCTAAGTAAATAAATCGATCCTTTCGAATGAAAAAAAAATTTTTAAATTCAAAAAAAAAAAAGAAAGCCTTTTAATTATTTATTTTATTTTAGTTATATATTATATAAATAGATTTGTTAATTATGCATATCAAAACTGTGATGTTTTATTATTAGAAATAATCATTTCCAATCATTTTAATTAATATGCTTTTCTCCAGTAAAATTTATATTATTTGCATATTTAATATATTATGAAACGCACACGATCATTATATAATTTCATATATCATATATGCTTTATATATGTTTTCATATATGCTTTCATATAAATATGCTTTCAAATACGTCGTACATACTTCTTTACCTAGTTTACACATACAAAATAAGTAAATAAAGTTATGAATTTAAAAAAAAAATTACTTTATTCGCACACGCGTAATATTAAATTTCATAATAACAGTAAAAATTTTCTTTTATAATCCCCAATATTTTTGGTTATGAGACTGGTTCTAAATGAGTTTCACCACATTATGTATGTTCCTCTCCACGTTTATAATTAAATAGCTATAATTAATTTATTTAAAAATTTTTTATTTATTTATTTAAACCGACTAAAAAATTGGGATTTTAATTTTTTCATTTAGCAAAAACAAAAATTATTTTTGTACAAAAAAAAAAATAATATTCATTAAATAAAAACAATTTTACTTCTTTTCCATTCTTTTTCTTTTCCATCAATCACATTTTTTCTAAACACTCCTTGACCAATTAATTTCACGTTTCAAGAATATTTTAATTAATATTTAAAAAACCCATAGACTAAATAAAAAATTTAATTTAATTTTTTCCGAACAATATTCATTTCATTTTTTAACCGTTTCGTTTCCTACAATTCCTCTTCTACTCTCCCACTTCCTCTTTTTACTATCCCATCTTTAATCCTTACCATTAACATCCTCCAAAACATAAACCTTGTTTTCTTTATTTCCTAATACTATTTTTTTTTTTGATTTTCGTGTAAATTTAATTTTTATTGTATTTTATTTTTTTTTTAAAAAAATTTTATAAATTGATTATTTCCTAGAGAAAGTCGATTTTTCAAAAAAAAAACCAAAAAATTATATATATATATATATATATATATATATATATACATACAACTATTGATAAGAACAATTAATTAATATATAAATATCTAATAAATGGAACCAGAACATGGATTTCCAGATAGAGACTTGTCTCTTCGACGTGGAAAAACGTTAAGTAAACCGGAACGTGGCCAACCAGCAACTCCCATGTTGCCAGGAAAAGACAAAAAAGCATTTGACTTTTGGGTTTTTTTTTCAAGAATTGTTACATTTTGGGCTCCAAGTGCTTTACTATCTTCAATGGGCGGTCTACACGATTCTCAATCACGACAAGCTTGGCGTGAAAAAATCACATTATGTTTCATTGCTGTTATTATGGGTGGTCTTGTGGCTTTCCTCACTGTTGGCTTATCACAAGTACTATGTCCTCCTGAACAAGCAAGCAACCCTGAATCATTTATACGTTTTGGTGATAGTAGTAGTATAGGTGTGTGTGTGTGTATATATATATATATATTTTGTTTTACATACTATCACGTGATGATTATTTATTTATTCAAAAAAAAATTTTTTATTAGGACATCTTGGTATTCTTGGATGGCAATTCGATGTTACAGGAGCTGATAAAAGTGTATTCACTGTTGACGTAGGAACACCAATGGGCCAAGACATTACTAATTTCTTTACTAGAGACAATGCAAAAATTCCAAGTTGTCAAGATCCAAACTTACAAAAATTCGCTGCTGTAAAACAACCATTATGTCAACCACCAGCAAAATGTCCACTATTGCCAATTTCCCCCGAAACTTTTGCAAAATATAAAATCACAAACACCACAAAAAAAGTTGGTTTTGACTGGTCTCAGCTTGCTGATCTTGAGAACCACATGGTAATCAATGGAAACGTATTAAACCTTGGACCATACACAACCGCAAACCCAAAAGCAATTCCTGGTGACTTGATGGACACTATAATTCGTGAAGTTTTGGATACTCCTCATAAAATCGGTGGAAAAGATGCTACTCGTATCTTCTTTAATAAACCTGACCTGAAAGCTGCCGTCAATTGTCTTGTTTCAAAATATTATGCCGGAAACATTGATAAAGAGACTATTGGTTGTTTTACCTCGACAATCTTTTTATATATTTCGTTGGTTGTCATCTTGGGAATTGTGTTGGTTAGATTTGCTATGGCTTGTGTGTTTGATTGGTTCGTTTCACATCGTCTTGCCCTTAAACCAAAACAAAGAGACAACACTATTGGTGAGAAATCGATTGGTGCTGCTTCCGTTGTGCCTTGGACTCCTGGAACAATAACTGTTTCCAAGGACATGACAATGAATCAAGTTGGAAATGATCTTTTCACTGTGTTGCTTGTAACTTGCTATTCTGAAGGTGAAGAAGGCTTAAGATGTACTTGTGAATCTATGGCTGCTACCGAATATCCTGACGATCGTAAATTATTGTTTCTTATTTGTGATGGTATAATTACTGGCAGTGGTAATGATCTAAGTACTCCAGATATTTGCGTCAGCTTATTAGATATTGGTAATTATATATATATTCTTTTTTTAAAAAAAAAAAAAGTCATTTGATTCATGATATTTGAGAAAATTATTAAATAAAAATTCTTTGTTTTATTAGAACCTCAATTTGCAAATCCAAAACCTCAAAGTTATATTGCTGTGGCATCCGGTTCAAAACAACATAATAGAGCAAAGGTTTACGCTGGTTATTTTAATTATAAAGATCGTAAACTTCCAACTGTTTGTGTTGTAAAATGTGGTAATCCTGAAGAAGATGGGAAACCAAAAGCTGGTAATCGTGGTAAACGTGACTCTCAATTGATATTGATGCACTTTTTCAGTCGTGTCACGTATAATGATCGTATGTGTGAATTGGATTATGACCTTTTCAATAAAGTTCATCATTTAATGGGTATTACACCAGATTTCTTTGAAATCGTTCTTATGGTAAGCAATTTTATTGATTTATTTGTGTTGTGGTTTTAAAATATGCGTCATAGATATAATCTATATATATATATATATATATTAATTTAAATTTCACATAAATTTATTTAGGTTGATGCAGATACTAAAGTTTATCCAAATTCTCTTAGATTGTTGATCAATTGCATGTGTAATGATGGTTTAATTATGGGCTTGTGTGGTGAAACAAAGATCGCAAATAAACGTGATTCATGGGTTACAGCAATTCAAGTATTCGAGTATTACGTTTCACATCATTTGGGTAAAGGTTTCGAGTCAGTATTCGGTGGTGTTACCTGTTTACCAGGTTGTTTCTGTATGTATCGGTTGAAAGCACGTAAAGGCAAAGATGATTGGGTACCAATTATCACCAAACCAGAAATAGTTCAAGAATATTCACAAAATACCGTTGAAACATTACATCAAAAGAATTTATTATTGTTGGGTGAAGATCGATTTTTGACAACTTTAATGTTAAGGAATTTCCCACATCGTAAAATGATGTTTTGCCCAAAAGCTGTTTGTAAAACAGTTGTACCAGACGAGTTCAATGTTTTGTTGTCACAACGTCGTAGATGGATCAATTCAACTATACATAATTTATTGGAACTTGTGCTTGTTAGAAATTTATGTGGAACATTTTGTTTTTCCATGCAATTTGTTATTTTCATGGAGCTTGTTGGTACCGTTGTGTTGCCAGTTGCATTGGTGTTGACATATGGATTAATAGTCACTTTGATTCTTAAGCCACCACGAGACTTGATAGAAGCTATTCCACTAATGATGTTGATTTTGGTGCTTGGATTACCTGCAGTTTTGATTTTGCTTACGACGCGTAAATTGATCTATATAGCTTGGATGTTTATTTATTTGTTAGCTTTACCTGTTTGGAATCTTATTTTACCGGTATATGCCTATTGGCATTTTGATGATTTCTCATGGGGTGAAACTAGAAAAGTTGAAGGTGAAGCAAAGGGTGATGACCATGGCAAAAAAGAAGGTGAATTTGATGCTTCAAAAGTACCAGTGAAACGTTGGGAAGACTGGGAACGTACTAGAATCCGTAGAATAAAAAGACAAGAACGTAATCAACAACAACAAAGACAACAAGAACAACAATTAATGCAACAACAATATAGTCCTACACACTTAACACATCACATGGTAGATGATAATGATCCATTATTATCTCATGATTCATATGATGCTTATAGTGATAGTCGATATGGTGGTAATGATTCCGCCTCTGTTCGTTCAAATAATTCTCAACATCAATTTTACGATTATTCAAATAATCCCACAGGTGATCATGGTTATCCACCACAAGATCAATTCGATGATATAAGGTTCCGTGAAAATGATAGAAATCATCAATATTAATAAAAAGAAAATTTTTATTCAATAAAGACTTTTTAACCAAAAAAAAAAAATTTTTTTTCTAAAATTTTAAAAATTCAAAAAAATTTATAGAAAATGCATCCGTGTATTTTTATTTTATACGTGTATGTATATATATGTATATGTATATATGTATATGTATAGAGTTGTAAATGTTTTAAAAAAAATTTTATTTAGAAATTTTGAAAGAAAATTTTTAATAATATATTATAATAATTATAATAACATCATCAATAATATAATATTTATATGTAATTTTAATTCATTTTTTATTTGTAATTTATTTTTTAAAAATTTTTCCAAAGTCTGAAGAGAGGATAATATAGAAAAAAATAAATAAAATTAATATAATATACAAGTATATATATATATATATATATATATAAAATATAAAAATTTACAAAAAAATAAATTTATTCTAAAGATTAAAGAAACTCAAATTCTTTATTATCATCTTCACCGTCATCTTGCTCGTTGTCATCATCATTATCATCTTCATCGTCATTATCTTCATCATGAAATTCATTAGGTGTTTGATTAGGTAATTCATGATGTGAGCCAGTACTACTACTAATAGTTGAAGTAGTTGTAGGAGTCTCTGAAATTTCTGCTGTAATTTCTGCAAGATTTATAATATGATCAGTGATTGACGGTGATGATTCTGTTGTTGAGTGATGCTCAGATGAGAAAGTGAAATAAGGTGACGTGCCTTGAAGTATACCACCACCAACTGACATTTGTACTAAAACTAATTTAGCATAATATTTAGTTTTACCATCTGGTGCGATTGCTGTAATCGGTACAAATTCTATACTTCCAGTATACCATTTATGCTAATAGAAAAAAATAATTGCGAGTGAGTGAATTATTTGTTTCTTGAAAAAATAAAAAGCAAATAAATAATGTATGTATATATATATATACATATATACATTTAAAGACACAGTTTGGATCATTAAATCAGATGAAATGCCCTTTAACCAAATAGTTATAATAACCGTATCTTTTAAGAGAGTTAAAAAATCAATTACTTGTATATTATTTTAATTAATTCTTTTAAAATTGATTTCCATGCACGAAAAATATTTACCTTTCGAAGGATTTTTAACTTTGGCATTTGTAGTGTTCCATGATATGTACAATTGATCAGATTTACTAATAGTACCATATGGCGAAAAAACATCAATATCGCCAGATTTCCCTTCATTGAGTTTATTATCATCTAATTTTGGAGTTGGAGCTGCTTCCATCACCACAGCCCTTTCTTGAAAATTAACTTCGTCATCATCTTTCAACTTTTTTAATTGATCAGCTACTAGTGATAATCCTGATAATTTATTATCATTGATAAGATTATCTTCAATATCTTCTGGTTGTAGTTCGTCTGGAATCGAAGCAGGATATGAAAAAGTAATAATTATAAATATTGTAATAAATAAAAATAAAAATAATGATATTTTGGTCCTCATTTTTTCGGTAATGATAAATATATATATATATATATAAATAAACTATAATAATAAGTATAGCTGAAAAAAAAGACAAGCGAAAATGCTTTTTATTTTCTTGAGGCTTTGCATTTTTACTTTATTGTTAAAAAATTTTGTATCTAAGCCTCGACGATTTACCCGAAAATTGAAATTTTATTCTTTTGTCAATAAATGGCACGTACAACTTTATTATTATGGAGAGATCCTTTTTATTCTGAAAGCATTAATTCGAAAAATCGTGCCAAATGTAAATTGTTTGGGATGGATGCAGAATTTTGATTGGTTTGTTTGAATCAATTTAAATTGACATTATCATCATGGATTTAATAACTGCTTCCAAATTTTCAGCTAGTGATGAATTTCTTGCAATATTAATATTGGTATCTCTCGTATTCAACCGGTAATAATGCCAGTTAAGACAACAGCAAGTCTTTAGCCCTGATCAATTAAACTTATTTAACATTAGTTCTGGTAGTAACATACAAGGAGGCAAGAATATCATTAATAATAACAAAAACGATAGTGATTAAGAATGGTTGACAAATTAAATATGACAAAGTTCATATTTATCGCCAAGAGGACGGATTTGACGAATTGACGAAGCTGACAAAGTTTGACTAGTTTCGGCATAGTACGCTCCTTATATGTATTTTAGTTGAAAGAGTTTGGCATAATTTCGGCAAGATCATTTATTAACAGTTATGCATTCTGCACGATTACCGCATAATAATAATGCCAAGTGGAAATTCTTTCTTCAACATATTAAGAAATAGATTTGCCACTATAGTATAATAACTGAAAAAACAGTGAATTAATTAGTTATAGAATGGCGGATTTGAATACAATACATCCTTGATAGTCATTGGAATTTGTAATGAGCCGTTTACCCTCACTTTTCACTTTCTTTTTACTCGATCGATCGCTCTCTCTACTAAATCGCTCTTTCACTCACTTGAAGAAACAAAACATTTGCCTTACGTTAAATGTCGATCTTTAAGCATGCTTTCACAACTTGGCACAAAACAACAGTATAATCCTATTTGTTAACTAATTATTTCCTATATTAATATGGTTTTATTACGTAATCCGACATGCAAAACCGCCAACAACAACAAAATTTGTTCCCCATATATAGAACAACTTCGAAAAGAGACACGCACGTCCATACATAAATAAATTAAAGAAAGAAATAATTTTCTTACGTTTTAATAATTAATTCAAATATTACAATTAATACAATAAATCAACCAATCGATTAATTTTAAATAATAAAACAAAATAGTAGCAAAACAAACTAAACAATGATTGAATATAGTTAAATAAAACATTCTTTCTATTTTAATTCCCTTCTAATTGATTTGTAATTGCTGTAATCATCTTTTGTTCACTTATATCATTAGGTCGATAATACCACTTGACATTTCTTTAAGGCTTTCTATTAATTTGTTTCTCGAGTAATAATATGGCGTGAACCAAACAAGCATTCCAACATTCTCAATGGTTTTATTATAAAATCTTTGCAGGATTGCTTAATTTTCTAGATTCCTTCTTTCTTTTTTTAATGCTATGATATTTTTTTTGCATGCTTTATCATTTCAGAAATTGGAAAACTTTTTCAACAAATTTGTTACTGAAGTTTAATTTTTTCTTCTAAAACAAATTCTTCTGTTTGAATACTTTTGGTCTTGCCAGTATTCCTGTAATTTTCAGCAAATTAACAATGGACAGATTGCCATTTCCAGTCCCAAGTATATTCTTTTTGGTTTCTGTCATAGCATTAACACTTAATAGAAGTCTTTGTGTATGGGGTAAATATATCACTTTTTGCTGAATTTAATAAATATGCATGGGATAATTTTGGTATTTTGGCAAATTCACTAGATATGTTAGTTAGATATCAATATGTCTTTTGTAAATGTTGTGCGTGAAATTTATGTGAATTCACATACTAATACGTGAAATTCAATTAATTATAAAAGAAGAATATTTGCACAAGAAAATTTCGGGTAAGTTCATTTATCATTATCATTTATTTATTAAAAAAATTAAAAGTTTCTTTTAAATGTAAATAAAAATGATATAAAAGTTTCTGGATACTTTGATTAGTAATTTAAGCAAGAAATTATATCAAAGAAATTTTTTCTAGAATGTCATCTCCCGTTATAATTCTAACCATTACATTAACACATACGTATATTATATTTCATATAATATAACTACTTTCAGAATCCATAACCATTTTTCGAATCGATCCTTATCATCCAAATTCATAAGCACATAATCATTAACCAATCTCAAAATCCATTAATTTTCTAAAAAACCATCAAAAATCTTTCTCAAAAACCAAACATTCAATCTCAAATTTCATAATCATTACCCATCCTCGAAATATAACCAGCTTTCTCAAAATCATCATTACTCTTGAATCCCTTCTTTTATCGGTCATTTTCAAATTAAATTATCATCAATCATTCTAAAAACATACTCGATATTAAAATCTATATAATAATTCTCAAAGACATCATCGAATCTCCAAATCAAATCACAATCTTCATAATCAAATATTTATATCACGTAATTATAAAATGGTTGATTGTATATATAGAATGATCACTTTCTTGAAATCTTAATTTTCTTGACAGACCTGGTCTTCCTTTTTATATCAGTATTATCGTTAGAGTCAGCAGTCTTTTGTTGTTTGGATTTGGTGAAATCAATAATATTTATGTTTTCAATTTCTCGTAATTTCCTTTTATTATTAACAGCTTTTGGTTCGTTTAATTCTTCCTCTAACATGCTGACCCATTCGTCGGTTGTACCTTGTACAAAGTAATCTACCATATCAAACATTTCTTTTGTTTTGACAATGTCGGTTAGATTGACCACAATTATTTTACCGCCTTTTTTATGAATATTTACAGCGAATTGTCTAATTAGATCCTTTATACCAGGTATTTGTAAAGATGTACCCATAATTATCATACAATCTGCTTTATTCGAATCCTTTAGTGCAACTTTTCCAATCTGAAGTTCTTGTGAGTGATTATCTCCATATAAAACAATATTAGGTTTGAGAATTCCAATTTTGTGTGACCTCTTACCAGCACTTCTTCTTTTCTGTTCTATTGTCAAAAAAATTATTAATAAATAATTAAAAGAATCAAAAATATTTTACACAAATTTTAATGCGATATTTACCACTTTGTTCGCATCGTGGACAAGATGGAGATTCGCCTTCTTTAAATCTTTCACAGTGAGATTTACTAAACTCATATACCTCGGAACATGCAGAACATTTGAGAAATTTCATGGTTCCATGTAGTTGGATAGCCTTGGTTGTACAGTTTGATGGTTTGATTACGATTGAATCAGTGGCCAGTCCAGCTACTTCTTCTAGATTGTCTATGTTCTGTGTGTATACTCTTACCAACTTCTTCTTGTCGTCTAGTTTTTTTAAGAAATGGTGAGTGGGAGTTGGTCTGGCATTGTTGATGCGTTCTTTTAAAATTCCCATAAACATGTTAAAGGCTCCTATTGATTTATGGTCCTTTAACATCGTAGTATCAAACAGGTCCTTCCCAGTTCGGAAGGAACCTGGGAACCTTTGTTTAATCATATCATATATTCCACCAGCAGATCTAAAGTCCTAATTTTAGAAGAAATACATAGAAAAAGAAATGCATAAAAGTAGAAATATATATACACACACACACATAGTTGCGTAATGATAATAACAACAACAAGAGTAAGTTGAATATTCTCATTAATTATAACAATAATAAAATGCATAATAGATGTATCAATAGATATATATTCATAAAAAAAACACGTTAAAAACGGAGAATTTGTTGAATTTAATAATGGTTACCGGAACTCCACCAGAACATGATATTCCTGCGCCCGTAATTACTACGCATTTTTTAGATTGTTTTATAGTGTTGAACGTTTCAAAAAGATGATGATTGTTAATTTCTTGGATGTTGATTTTAACTACCATTTTAAATGTATGTAATATTTTTTTTCTTAAAGAAATTTTGAGTAGAGGAAAATTAAGGAGCGTTTGGATTATTTATTATTATTAACGTGTTCATGTTGGATTACAGCATAAACGCGTAAAAAATTGGTGTAACTTTTCAATGTCAGAATTAAAAATTATCAGGTCAAAAAAAAAAATTTGTGTTAAAAAAAATAAATAATCATGAATTATTTTCCTAAGATACAATTGATTTGTTGGAGAAAGAAAATATCTTTTTTCCTCTTTATCTCGAAGAAACTTATGTAACAAGTTTTTTCGTTGCAAAATCAGTAGCAGGTTTTTCCTGAACAAAATCAATCTCACCTTCTATCTATCGTCTCTTCAGGAAAAAAACCATCCCCTAATTCTGTAAGCGAGCTAGAAGCCACAATCGTGCTTACACCGCTAATTGCTTGTTTTCTGCGAAGGATCCTAATATAGGTTCGTGTTCATTCAATTGATGATCATTTAGACACGTTAGAGGTTATAACACATTATTAACATATAAAACCTTCTACCAATTTACAAAATCCAAATAATAAAATTTTAAAAATGACAAGGAAAAAGCTTGGATACAGTCAATGGTGTATTTTTAGTTTTTCTCCATTAATATGAAGATGAAGAATGATGATGGTGATTGTAATATCGATTGATGTAATCTTTATTGTTGTTGTTGTTGTTGTTGTTGTTGTTGTTGTTATGTTCTTTGCTTTAGGGGTTTTGATACATTTTGTCCAATTGGACCAGTAATATTACCAAAATTGATCAAGAATCCGAATTCGCTCGAGATATTAATATGTATAATAGTTAACAAAGAAGCATTACAAAATTCTAACACAAAAGATAAGTATCAAAGAATGTGTATTTGGCAAAATTACTTTGTTTTTTTTATATATTCAACTATTATTAATTAATCATTTTTCAGGGAATTAATTTACACGTAATATTTGATATGCCAGATTAATAATAAAGGAACTGTTTTACAAAAAGGTAATGCGTCATTGACTAGTACACCTGAAGGTATGATTTAGTTATTAAAGAGAGGGAAAGAATTATCATTAAACTTTCTTTCAAAAAAATCAAATATGTCAAAGGAGTTGGATTTACAAGAAATCCTCTGTTATTTCTTCTAATGATCTACCAGATGTTTCTGGAACCATAAAATACACAAAGAACCATCCAAATGTCATCAGCAATGCATAAAGCCAAAATGTACCCGAGATTGTTATGGTTTCTGTTGATGGCAAGAATGCTATAACTACGCATGAATTCATAAACCAATTTGTTGCTAAATTATAAAAAAAATATTCAAATTAAATTAATAAATCTTTAAATAATTATAAGAATATTAAAGATATACCTGTAGCAACACCAGATGCTCGACCTCTAATATTCAAAGGAAAAAGTTCACTTTGCATTAACCATGGTGCATGACCAAGTCCTAGTGCATAACCTTTATCAACCATTCAAAAAAAACTAATTAATTCCCAAAAAATAGAAATAATATTATACACACACACAAAAAATGCAAATTCACCTGATATAAAAAGCATCAAAGTGAAAAGAGTGAATAAACTTCCGGCTAAACTGCCATCAGGACATGAATCATAGAATTCTTCATGATCATTTTTTGGTGAACAAATCCCTCCTAAATGTTTACTAAACCCACATCTATCATCAATCACACAAGCAGCACATCTTGTTCCATAATCAGTACATGTATCTTGTTTAGGTACAAGTCCAACAATAGAAACAAACCCAATTCCCAGAAGAAATAACCCAATAACAGTTGCTATTATTGTGTATAAAAGTATAGTTCTACGACCTACCCTATCTATAACATATAATGCAACAACTTTACAAGAAAAAAAAATTTTTTATTAATAGAATTATTATGATGTGGACTTGGTAATAAAATAACCCTTGTAAATTAATTACCAGTCGCCACAAAATTTGTGATTGATACCAGTATAGAAAATACGATTGCTTCTTTAATGATAGCAAATCCTGCCATTTTTAATATAGTTCCCTAAGATTTTTAAAAAGATCATTTAATTTATCACTAAAATATTATTTATTTGAAAATTCCAAATATATATTACATACACCATAATACATGGCTGTATCAAAGCCTGAAAACTGCTGGAGTGTTTGGAGACCACAAGCAATGACTAATGGTCTAAGATTTGGATGATGCAATAATTGTTGATAAGATCCAGTTGAATCTTGTTCAATAGTTTTTTGTATAATTTTTATTTCTATTAGATAATTTATAAACTGTTAATAAAATAATTTATTAATATTTAAAAATAATAATCATTATAATAACATATGTTTAACCTTCATCCAGAAAATTTTGTGGAGCTTTAGGGTAAATTTTATGTAGAACATTCATAGCTTCTCCAAGTTCACCAGACTTTACAAGATAACGTGGACTTTCAGGAACAAATGGCATACCTAAATTCACATAATTACATATATTCTCATAAATATAGATAAATATAAATGCATATATTTATTCTCAAAAAAGCATTATATAATATTACTTACAAATTAGTTGTATTATAGGGGGGATAATGGATACACCAAACATCCATCTCCAACCACCATTAGAAACAAATAAAACACCAACCAAGTAAGCAATAACTTGTCCACTAATAATCAACAAAATATTCATAGTGACAAGACGACCACGATGAAATCTTGGAGATATTTCACTAATATAAATAGGAACTACCATTGAAGCAATTCCAATTGCTAACCCAATCACAAATCGACCCATAACTAAATAATAATATGTACCAGCAAAAGTTATGATAAGAGAGCCTACAAGAAATACAATGGCTGCAAGTGTAGATGTAATTCTACGTCCAGAAAAATCTGATAAAGAACCTATTTAAATATATATTTGATGTGATAATTATTACAGCTTATTATTATTATTATTACTGCTACTATTATTATCTTTAAAATATTATTATTATTATTTTCATCATTATCAATTATTTACCAGCTCCCAATCCACCAAAAAATGCACCAATTGTTGTTGCTAAACAAAACCAAAATTTTGTAAGTTAACTTTGATTGAAAAAAAAACAATTGTTTCAAATAAAATAAATTTTGATCATTCACCTCCAACTACCATTCCTTTTTGAAAGGCTGTCATAATAAATTCATGTTCAATTAGCAACATTGCACCACTAATTACACCTGTATCAAATCTAAAAATATTTAATTTTTTTTTTTATAAAAAAAACTAAATACATATTACAATTGATTCACACATATAATATATAATACCCAAATAAGAATCCACCAATAGTTACAATTAAAGATGAGATGACTACAAAGGGAGTGATTTTAGCAGTTTTTTCAAAATTTCTTAGAACAGGTTCATCAAAATGTTGATGAAAATGATAGTTAAGAGAAGTATTATGTGACAAGCTATCATAGTCTATATCATCATCTGAAGTAGAAATTTTTGGACTTGTTGCTTGAATTTCATTGTTTTCTTCTAATAGAGGTGTATAGGATGTGGATGACTATGTTGACAATTATATGGTTTCAATTTATACATGGCATGATCAATTTTATAATAATATAACACAAACACACATACATCATTATCATTGATTCCTCCCCTTTCCATTTTTTTTTCTCTTTTTTTATTAAGTAAAGTTTTTTTTATTCAAGGACACAAAAAAGGATCCAATGCATCCAAACAAATATGTGTGCTAGATGGATCAAAATTATGATCTTTTGAAACTCGAATAAAGCTTTTTTTTAAATTTAGCATTCAAGCTTGCTTTTAAATATATGTGAAGTGAATTGAAAGGAAATTTCGAGGATTCATATTTTAGTGATCAGCTCAATTGGAATGTCCAATGAATTAACCAATGAAATTCAATTAAAATGTAACACAAATAAAATTCATTGGCCAACGAAAAATGCAACGTGAAAAATCTCCAAATTTGAAAAGACTTTTTCTAATAGTGTTCCAGGAATTTTATCGATTAATTTTAACAAGCAATTCTTAAGGCTAGTGGTAATTCTTTAATAATTGTGAGAAAAAAATAACTAATACATTATAAAAGAAATTCAATTATTATAATGCTTTTTATTTTTTTATTTTACCAATTTCCATTCTTTTTTCATTAGAATAATTGGGATTAATAAGAATATTCTCATCAGTTGATGTTTATTTGGTTGCACCCAGAATTTGACCATTGGATCATTTCAATACCCGTTTTTTCCAAAAATATTTTACAGTTTCTTTTTATATTTCGTATTTTTAATTTTATAAAGGATTAAATTAATTAAAATTCTATTACCACCTAGATGGAATTGGTTCTAGAATGATTTTGTTGTAAAACATTTTTATGTTTATATTTATATAATAATAAAAGGCTTGTATTTAATAATCGCCAAAGAGTTTTAAAATAATCATCCCAGATTCCAAAAAAAAAGTAAATGAGGGCCAAAAGAGAGGAAATTCATTAGAAAAGTCCTAACTTTTGCTTATTAAACAAATAAAACGTGACTTTTTACCAAAGCATTTGCATAAAAATAAATTTAAAAAATATTATTTGATGGTTTTACTTTATTAGATGTTAATGTGGTATTTATTCTCTTCAAGTGAGGACCTGAACAAAGTTAGTTGTCAATTAGTATTAGCTCAAGCAATCAATCATTTTATAATTCTAAAATAAAATACAAAAAAAAAAAAAAATAATAAATTGTAATTTATATTTAATCAGCTTTTTTTTTCCCGTATATTCTATGTAGATAATAATAATTAAATATAATTTTTAAATAAGGAATAATGAAATACCAAGGAAGAGAGAAATAGATATTTACCTAAAATTTTTTTGATAAGTTTTATACTTTATAACTTCTAAAGGCAATTGCCTAAACATTTCATCACATTCTTCTAAACTAATTCCAATAACTGATGAGATATCAGGTCTAATTGTTTCCATTGAACCAAACAGATTTTCTCTGAACTATATATAATTAAATAGTATGTTAATTATTAAAATTACCATCACAAAATATTAATTAATAATATATTTTACCATTTCACTAGCCATACCATGATCACCTAATGGAAACTTTTTTGATTGATGACTAATTTCAATTATTTTATTAGTAGATATTAACTTTTCTCTAATAGATTCACAAACTGATTCATCAATACCACGTGATTTGTATATTTTTTTGACTATAATTTATTAATAGTTTGTTAAAGCCTATTAAGTAACTTATGAAATAGTATTAAAAAGTTTATTAAATGGTTATTTACACCCAGACATTAAAATTTCTCCTAATGGACCAAAGGAATATGGCATATATTCATTTTCCTAATAATAATAATAATAATAATAATAATGAATAACAAGGCTAATAATATAATATATTTTCTTTATCATGTCAAAATATAATATATCTTTCATTATTATAATTACCACAAATTCAATCCAACCACCAGGTTTAGTTATACGTATCAGTTCATCAATTATAAAAGGCCATTGATCAATTTTTAGTGAATTTGTCATATGTTTTTGATGAACAAAATCAAAAGTGTCATCTGGAAATGGTAAACCATCAAGGATATTATGACTAATTATCGCCATATTTGTTGGTGATTCTTTTTTGGAATCAGTTGCTATATCAATTCCAACAAATGATGATTTTGGAAACTCCTTTGCCATATACATTAACCAAGTTCCAGGACCACATCTGAGAGAACAATTAAAGTTGATTTACAATTATTCAATTGTCATAGGAAAAGTTTGATGATTCAATTAAAATCAACTTATTTACCCAATATCTATTACAGATGCACCACCATTGTTTAATGTTTCACTCACAGGAGAAGAAAATTTACTATTCCATATATGTTGTGATATAACTTCTAAAATTTCCATTATATACATTGACTATAAATAATAAAAATTTTTAGAAAGTTTCAAGAAATTAATAATTAATTAACTTATAATTTACCCTGCGATCAATAGGAATGAATGCGCAAGATTCCTCTATATTAATAAATTCTCTACCATCAACAATTTTAAAAATCTCAAGTCTCAAATCATCATCCTTTTCTCCTTTGTTATCATTTTTGTTTTTTTCTTCCTGCTTATTATAATGATTTTGATTTCCAGTCATTATTTTTATTTTTTAAAAAATTGAATTCATCTACAATATTTATATTGCATTATGTTGTAGATTTTAATTGAGAAAAATTAATTGCTGTATGAAATATGGTTTCATTCAGCGCGGGGAACATATGATTTTTATCAATCATACTTTGGTTTTATCACGCAAAAAAAGGAAATTTGATCCGAACCAATTGAACCAATTATATAAATTTAAATTTAAACTCATACAGTCCCCGGCGAAAAGAATGGCGGTGGGAATGTCTTCTCTTTTTTTGAGCATAGCATTGCCATTTTCCAATTGAGATATTTATTTATTGTACTAAATTGCACATGGAATGCTATTTCAAAAAACAATGAAAAAAAAAAACCTTAAATATTGTTTTTATGCCAAGAGGTCCGAGTTTGTCAAACAATGAATTTTCCTGATGACTTTCATGATCCCAAATTATGTGGAAAACCTAAAGGAATAAAATTAATTTTAGAAGAGCGTGAATTATGGCCAAAAGAAGGTTTAAGATTAACTTGCACCAATAAGAACATTGAAGCAAATACAAGTTATCCAAATTGTTGTGCAAGGCATAAATTATAGACAAGCACCATAAGTCAGTATTTTCAAAATTCTTGATATCCTGCTTGATCATTTGTCTAGAATTTTTTTAAAAGAATTAGCTTGCCTTTCAACTACAACTGTGTTGTGTTATATTGGCATGCTTAATAATAAAATGAATCAAATATATAATTATGAAAGAAAATATTTAACTTTCATTATCTTGACAGCTAAAAGTTAGACTGAAACAATTTTACTACCATTTGGTTTCTCTTAACAATGTAATTCAAATGGTTAGTACTTTTGAGCTTTTACAACTTCCGTATTAATGAATAGCTTTCGTGTATAGGTATTTAATTTTAATTTCTTCTGATCCACTTTACTTGAAACGATATCATTATAGTACAAGATGGAAAATACCGTCATTCAACCAAAATTATCAAGAGGCATGATGGTAAATTCGTCTTAATCTGATCACTGGTTGGTGAGAAAATGGGGAAAACGTTTAAAAAAAGGGTTAAAAATTACTGGCTTTGCACATTATTTGCAATACTAACTTTGATTAAAGTCTGAATGAAGGCGAATGGAGGACATTGTCCTAATTTTTAGCCTTTATTTTAAAAAAAGAATCTTCAAATTTGTTACATAATGAGTAAGATTAAAAAACTAAACCGCCATTCTTTTCGCCAGAGACTGTAATAAAAATTTTAGCTTGAAAATTATTATGCGAAAGGTTGATTATGTATGTTTAAACATTTTCTCTTTCGATTGTTGGAACAAACTTTACGCTCTGCAAACTCATCATGTTCACATCTCCACATTCTAGTTTATTGTGAGTTTTCTTCACGCCGTTTTTTTTGTGACGGGTTAGAATTAATTAAAACAGGCGAAGATTACGGTACTGTTATTATAGTTTCAGATGCAGGGAAGCGAAAGGGCAGAATAATAATCGTCATTGTAAAAATCATTATTGTTTTTGAGGAAAGGAAGCTTCGACTAAATCTAAACAAACTTATTTTTGCAACTTTATATTATAATCATGTGATACTGTTGTATGTGAAATTGAAATTATGTGAAATTGAAATATTATGGAGTGGTGTGAAATTCTGGTTGGCTAATTTGAATTTCACGCATGTAAATTTGAATTTCACATATGTGAATTGCGAATTCACATAATTTCATTTTCACGTACAACAATACAATCAGTTTATCGTTTAATAATAAGAATATATTTGAATTAAAAAAACAAAAAAGTTTATTTCTGCCAGTAATACGTCGGACCTACCTGATAATTCATTAGTTCAGGTAGGTATCTATACTTCCTATAGGCAATATCCTTTTTTCACGCGCCTTTCGGACACGTGAAAAACATATTGACCTACAGATCAGGTAGGTATCTACCGATACCTACCTGAACTAATTATTTAATCATGTATTTATGGCAATTGCCGTCACACAATATAAAAAAGATCGCCATCCAATATTAATAACAAACATTAAACAATTAATTGATCTGCTTTAAAAATAAGGATAATTACACTAATAAAACACACCCTTATTAAAAGTAATTTCATTAGGTTCAAACATTCCTCATTCACATTACGAAAGCAGATTAGAGAAGAAACCCTATACAAAATCAAAAGGTATATATTAAATAAATATTTTTCTTGTCTCCCTATGAAAATTTGCATTGTTGAACAATGCACAATCCGATATTAATTGAAATATACAAAACGAAAAACGCCATATAATAATGCCTGGGAATGAAGATGAAGCAGTTATAATAATAATAACGGAAAGCCCAATTTATATGTATATATATAAATTATTATTATTATTGTCTATAACGTACATTTTTCTTTTTCCTAAACCAAATGGCCCATTATTAATGATGCATGGAAAAATGTTTTTGGAGTTGAGAAACTATTTCGTCAAATGTAATAAAAAATGACGAAAGACTAAACCCATGACGAAAGACTAAATCCTTGGCGAAAGTAAAAACCTTGGCGAAAGTAAAAACCCTTGGCGAAACAAAAAAAAAATTTTTATTAAAGTAAAATTTTTAACTATAATTATTCATATTTTTGTTTTTTTATTTTTTACAACTTCATTGTAAACATTTTTTCTATGTAAATTATGTTGTTTTAATGTAAAGAATTGAGCCAAAAAAAAAAAATGTTAAAAGAAAAAGTAGCAGTAAAACATTTAATAATACAAAAAAAAGAATTATTACACGAAATTTATCTGTTTATTTTTTATTCTTTATATTATTATGTGCATAAATATCCAATATCAAAAAAATCAAAAAAAAAACTAATTTTAACAATGTATTGTAAATAATGAATTTTCAATATATTCTTGAAAATCAGATGGTGGTGGCAACTATAAATAATAAATAAACATTCGTTACTCTAGTTGCAAAACAAAAGAATTGATTTTTTATTTTCGTCAACAATTTTTACTTTCGTCAAATCGTCAAAATGCGTCTTGGTGAGAAACTACTTTAGTCAGCACTTTCGTCACGTCAATGGCTAAAGTCGAAAGTTTCGTCATGCAACATTACTTCCCGACATGATCGCAACCAACTTCGTGAAACTGCGTTTTCCTTTTTATAGATAAAATTACCAAAAAGACTATTTTTTTAAAAAAAAACAATTAATCCTGAAATAGAGATTGAATGTTGTTGCACCGGATTGGTTCTTATTATTATGTTAAAATGTTTTAGTATTAAGGTTACATTATTTTCTTCGTCGTTGTCATCAAGTTTTCTCTTTTAAATCACAAGTTAATTACCTGTTTGAAGAGAACATGATTTACTTACATTGTCTGACGCCATTATAAATGCTTTGGTCTCAAGACACCTTTCTTTCTGCGCTCACGTGTAAAAATCATGACATGTTCTTTCTCATGAGGCTGGATGAGATTTTTATAATTAAGCAATTTATTTAACCGTTCTTTCCTATGTCGAGCATAAATCTGGGCCTTGGAATTAAAGATATTGCAATCTTTAGGAAAATGGATGTTATATGCCGTACCGTAATGTCCATAATTGGTCCATCAGGAGATTCAATTTACGCCACGGAATCCTCCGTAATTACTAGATTCGGTAAGTTCTATTAACAGGTTTGTTATATCATCATCATTATTATAGAAATAATTGCGATTAATAAGTCATATTAATATTTGCTTTACTATTGACGGATATTTTGAAACTTTAATATTAATTAAAAAATAAATAAACGTAACATATGATACGATCAATATAATCATATGATAATAACATACAGTTAAAATAAATTTTAAAAGTGTTATATTATTATAAATAATTAAAAATAAAATAAAATTAAAATTTATGGCTTATAAAATTATTAACTTTATGACTTAGACAATAATTCTTATATAAAGAGAAAGAAATATCCATCTTTTTGCCTATAGTCAAAAAAACAAATATTTTTTTTAAACAATATAAAAAAGTAACTATACTTTTAATAATGTAGTACACAGACAGACTCGATAAGTCAGCCGCATAATTTATACTATTGAGTACTTTAAACAATTGATTACTGCGGGCTGACTTATCGAGTCTGTCTGTGTACCAATAAAACAGATCAGAAAATTATTATTTACACATTACGGATATTTCGATTTAAGGATAATAAATTTTTTAAAAAAATTGTTTCCAAATTTGGAGGTGAGGGATTTCCTATGGAAGTCCTGTTCCGTAGTCAATTTTTTCACAAGCGAAATAGGGCTTATTATAAATTTAATAGGCAGACATCGGTTTATCGTGTGTATTTGTTTTATCAAAGCATCGTTCTAACTTGTAATATGTATAAATTAAATATTATTATATATATTCTCGGCGGCTTACAAAGAGTTTTAAAATACATAATAAATAATAATAAATAATTTGATTTTCAAGTATTGGTTTTTTATCTTTGACTTATGACTGATCCCACTAAATCTTCTTTTACTGCAGATCCAAGATAAACTTGTTGTATCAAGAATATTTAAATAATATTATTAAATCAATAAAACAATCACCAATAACAATAAAATTTAATTATTAATCATTCCATCTACAAAATTAACACAAAAATCATGACTAAATGAAAAAAAAATTTGGAGCTTTTCAATGAAAATCTGAAAAAACGATTCAAAAAAATGTTGTTCTTACTAAAAGATTTTATATTAATATTTGAGTGCTAACGCGAATTAA